TAAGAGTATCATAATCTGGCCCTCTTCAAAGCTCTAGGAATATGTCTTATGTTACATACAAATGTTAAATAATCTACTATATATTTGAGAGAGTTTGTTGGTTAATGAATGAGTGAGTGAGCAAGTCTATTGGTGCATCCATTTGTTGAGAAACTCAGCATAAATGGAAAAAGCTAGGACCACCAAATTTGGTAAGTAGCTTCCTTTTACAATTTAAAGCAAGGTGAGGGTTTGGTTGGATGTGCCTGGAATGTGAATGCTTTTCATAATATGGAAAAGAATGGGGCTGCTAGCAGGGAAGGTAATGACCACAGGTGGGCACCAAGGGGCCAGAGATGGAGACTGGGATAGCTTTAACCCCATTGGAGCAGCAGGGGACAGGGATGGAGGTAAGATTATGACCTGCTGCCCAGGCAGCATGGCCCTGGCCGTGAAGCTGCCGCCTGGACAACGTGGACCCTGCTGGCTCCCGCACTGCCAGCCCGAGCCACTCCTCAACCCTGAATTCTGATTGCAGAACCCCCACATATATGCAGCCCCCTTGCCCTGAAGGACCCGAGCAACGTAAGGTAAATCTTCCATTAAATAAATGATATCCTCAGAACTGTTAGATCTGAATATACCTCAATCCTTCACTGATGTGACCAGTTCTAAGGATGGAAGGAGAATTCAACCTTCACTTGAGATATTGCTTTCTTTGCTAAGGCAGCATGGAATCTTTAAGTCCATAAAGAAGTCTATCTTGACCTTCATGATTCCTGCACATCCCAGTTTTCATGGGAAAGGAAGGTAATACCTGCTCAGGCCAAGTTAAACTCAAGGGCTGTGTCTACATTGGCAAGATTTAGCACAAAAGCGGCCGCTTTTGCACAAAATCTTGCCACCTGTCTACACTGGCTGCGAGAATTTGCGCAAGAACACTGACGTTCTACTGTGAAATCAGTGCTTCTTGCGCAAATACTCTGACGCTCCCACTCAGGGATAAGTGTTCTTGCGCAAGAGGCCAGTGTAGACAGGTAACATCAAATTCTTGTGCAAGAAAGCCCGATGGCTAAAATGGCCATTGGAGCTTTCTAGCTCAAGAGAGCATCTACACTGGCACAGATGCTTTTGCGCAAAAGCAAATCTTTTGCGCAAAGGCACATGCCAGTATAGACACTCTCTTACTCAAATACTCTAACGCAAAAACTCTTGCGTTTAGAGTATTTGCACTAAATCTTGCCAGTCTAGACGTAGCCAAGAAGTTCAAGAAAAAGGCAAGATAATTGCTCTCAGTTACCAGAAATATAGGTATTCCCAATTAAAAACCATTTAAAGTGGCGACAGAATTAAAAGCACATCAGTAATTTAAGGGCTAAAACATTACAGGGATGTTATAATTAATCGCAAAACAAGTGCTGTAAATCCAGGAAATTCTGAGTTATGGTTAAACTTAAAAGAAATCTTTGCATGTTCAGGTATGGAAATGTAGTTTAGTGCATCTGAACAAATTTAACTCTACCCTGTAAAGAAGCCAAGCAATAACCCTACTGTTCTGACTACAGGCTGCCCTCACTATAAGACCAAGATACATTCTAAAAAAATTAAGACTTATTATAGTAAAACAACTTAAAACAGGGAATTTTTTCCCCGCGGCTGACTTCCATTTGTGCAAATTGTTGGCTTTTTTTTCCACGACTTAAGAGTGGAGAATGGGAGAACTTATAATGCATCAGTTCCTACAAGCCTCAATGACGTTAGTGCGGAATGCATGTATACCGGGGTGCCTTATAGCGGGGATGCCTTGTAATGCATAACAATTCTTGTGATCCCAAATTATAATAAACTGTTTCGTAAAGGCACATTTGCTTCCCCCCACATCATCTATTTCTCAAGGAGGAGAGCTAGTTACAAAGGGACTAGGGCTGTGGGAGATTCTTGCCTAGGGAAAGGAGAGACAAGTATACAAATTTTATACTGACTGGGAAGGACAGGACTTTCACTGGAAATCCTGTCTGTCCGTGGGCTTTGCTTATAAATAACTGAACTAAAACTATATTCTTCCCTCCCCTCCTGGTAGTTTGGGGACTTGGGTAGGAGGCATGGAATGTGTGTGTGTGTGTGTGTGTGTGTGTGTGTGTGTGTGTGTGTGTTAGTAAAACGGATGGGTGTTGTGGAATGCACGTCTGGTGTGGAATGGATGGATGTGAAGTAGGAAGATGGAGTGAAGAATGAACAGATGCGAAAGTGTGGAATGAATGGAGGTAGGTAGTGAAGTGTGTGAGGAGTTGTGTGTATGTGGGCAGAAAATAGCTAGAGTAAGTAACTGGGAGAATGACTGCTAGTTGGGGGAGTATGGAATTAATGAATAGGGTGTGTGTGTGTGTAGGACAAACTGGCAATATCATAAAGGTATTTTCTATCACAAATATATGTAAATGAGAGTATAGTTTTTTTGTAAAGGCGAAAAAGTACCATTAATTCTAAAAATAAAAAATCTGCAAGTGCAGCCAATGCATTAGGTTTCTGTGTGATTTAACCACATGGGAAGTTTGGAAGGTCATACTGTTTCATTATTGAAAACAGCGGAGACAAAATATAATCTGATACCAGGAGCTAAATTTCTTAAAGGACCCATAGTTTGAATAAATTTTACCTCAAACTAATTAACAGATTGACTTGCCAATTCTCAGAAAGGACCCACTATCCTGCAAGCAGGTCTGCAAGGATGGAACATACTTTCTCATTAAACCCTGAAGAAGTAAATGGAGCGCTCTGTGGGAAATGGGGTCTGAGTTCCTACACAAAATCAATTGCAAGATCAAGGC